TTACAGAGGGACAGTTCGTAAGGTGCAGGGTCTTGGATTTAAAACGACCAGGGAGGGGAAAGATGGGCTTGGAACTTTCAGTAAGTTGGTGGACGTGGTGGTTTTGAGTCCCTTCCGAGCTATCAAACACTACTTTCGAGATTTGCATTAAATGTTTTTGACTCTGCATCCAATGCTCGTATTGTCAATTCCGTGTTGGAACTTAAGCAAGATATGAAGTGCAAGTAAGCAGAAACCTTGCATGCTGTGGACGTGACTTGTTTTTGTGTGCAGGGTTTTGTCAAGAATGTGACGGAGAAAGGTTGTTTTGTGGTCCTGTCACCTTCACTTGAAGCTAGAATTCAACTGAAGAACCTATCGAACTCGTTTGTACAAAACCCTGCAGAAATGTTTCCACCAGGCAAGGTGATATCGGGAAGGTATGAACTTTTCTCCGTATGGAAGTGTTTGCTGATATCTTCTTCTTCGTCAGAATTTTAAGCATCGAGCCATTGTCTGGGCACATTGAAATGTCTTTGACGGCAACAACATCACAAGATTCAAGTGGCTGGAAGAAGTTTGGTGCTGGAGAGATCGTTAGTGGCCGCATACACAACATTGAAGCATTTGGGATCTTCATCAGCCTTCCCGAGAGCCATGTGGTAAGCTCTCTCTCTATCTTGGTTTCAAGTTCTTAGTCTGTGCTCCAGGTTGCTTGTGTCATGTCTCTGAAGTGTCTTACGATTTTATTCAAGACTTGTCAACACTTTACAAAGTCGGCCAATGGGTTCAAGTAAAGATTCTAAAGGTGAGAACGAAAGCTTTAGTAAAACCACAGGGTTATGATTTCCCTCTACAGGTTGATGCGGAAAATCTCTTGGAATGAAAGCGTCATATCTGACCCCTGAGGATGGCATCGAGCCGATGGAGGAAGAAGCTATAAATGAAGAGCCTTCGAGCACAAATGTGCTCATGGATAATGATGAGAGGGAGGAGGAGGACTACTTGGATCTGGCATCAAAACGATTCCCACAGCTATGCATGTCGATCCACTCTCAACAAAGACGTTGAGGATACAGTGCCAATTGACTTGAAAGAGCAGAGTTACTTCTTGTTTATATTCACTCTTCTCATGTCCTGCTTCTCAACAGGGAGGCTGCAGCAAAAGAGAAGTTATTACAGAAGGACCAGCCTCCAGAGACCAAGGACGACTTTTTGATTCTATTTTTCTTTAGGTGTTATAATGCAAGCTCTTTTTTATAGGGCATTGGAGAAGATAAGAAGAAATGGAAAAGATGAACATATGGATGGCTTATATCAACCTAGAGAATTCTCTTTTAGCATTTGAAGAGCAAATGGCAATCTCTTTCATAACATGCAATATAGAATTAATGGAGGATGAGTAGTTTATGTTTGTTTTTGCTGGAGTCGTAAATAGTATAAATGTGATGATCTTGGTTGACTTTGGCTTAGAAATTTCCTCAATTCAGTGTTTAATTGTTTGAAGTTTCATTGTACTTGACCTTTATGACTTGCGTTTACTAATCATAAGTCATCAGTATAGATATTACGTATGGAAACGCTGGTTGTCTACGCGCGGTGCGGGCATTTGGAGGAATCGAGAAGGATCTTTGATGCATTGCCGGCCAAGAACATCGCGTCGTGGACGGCGCTCGCGAGCGCGTATGCCGAGAGTGGGCATCCGGGCGAGGCCAAGGCAGCGTTCGATCGAATGGCGGTGCGGGACGTAGTTTCCTCCACTGCGATGGTCAAGGCGCTGGGCGATTGCGGGCGGATTGGATCGAGCAAGGCGGTGTTTGATGTGATGCCCGAGAGGAACTGCAAGACGTGGGCGACGCTGCTGCGGGGATTTGCTCGCGGCGGAGAGATTGGGCGAGCGAGAGAGGTGCTGGATCGGATGCCCGAGACGAATGTGGTAGCGTGGACGATCCTCGTGCAGGGTTTCGCGCAGCGCGGGCGAGTGGGCGATGCGAAGGCCGCGTTTGATTCCATGCCCGAGAAGAACAGCATCACTCGCGCGGTGATGCTCGTCATGTTTGCAGAGAATGGATTCGTGGAGGAGGCGGAGGATGTCTTCCAGGAGATTGTCCACCGAAACGCGATCCTCTGGGGGGCGATGCACTGGTGCTATGCCCAAAATGGGGATTTGATTCATGCCAAGAGTTTGTTTGATAGGATGCCTCTGCACAGCATACTTTCGTGGACGATTATGATCAAGTCATACGCGCAAAAAGGTGACGCTGATCAAGGAAAACAATTGTTTGAAGAAATGCCACACAGAGATCTTGTTTCATGGAACGCGATAATCGCTGTTTATGCCCAGAGAGGTCGTTTCAAAGACGCTATACGAGCGTTTTCTTTGTGTTGCTGCTGGGATTCCTATTCATGGAACACAATTCTCGTGGTATACGCTTTAGATGCAAATATTTGTGAGGCAAAGAAGACGTTTGATAGAATACCAACTTGGAATTTGGTCTCCTGGAACACAATGCTAGCAGCATATGCCCAGACCGGCCATGCGTATTCTGCGATCCAGCTCTTTTGGGCGATGTTTCTTCACGGCTTTGATCCCGACAAGGCAGCGTTTGCCATCGTTTTGACGGCGTGTAGCCATCTGGGGCTTGTCAAGGAAGCAGTAAGCTACTTCACGGCAATGAGCTTTGACAATGGATTGGACCCTTCGCAAGACCATTACACCTGCATTGTTGATGCTCTAGGACGGCTAGGGCGATTGGAAGAGGCCGAGGATGTCCTGGAGAATATGCCTTTGCCAGCTGATGGAGTTGCATGGGCAACGTTTCTTACCGCGTGTAAAAACCACGGGGAGATGAATCGAGGGATGCATGCTGCGGAATTTACGTGCCAGTCCAGCCTTGTGAGTGATGCATTGCCTTATGTGATGCTGGAGAACATCTTCAGAGCAGTTCAGACTTGATGTGTTGACCCAAACATCGATCGTTGATATCCAGCCATTCCGTGAGCCGCCCCATCCCCCATGGATGGAGAGCGGGACGCACAGAGGATTGAGCATAGGAGAGTCTTCATGAGGAGCATAGTCCTCCGCCTCTCGCGTATGAGTCCGTGGTGTCCCATGCATCTGGAATGTTAAGTGCAGTGGGTTTGCTATAGTCAGCAATGCAAGATCCAATGCTGCTGTTGTGAATTTCAGCAGCAGCACTGCGCTCCTCCTGCTCCACATCAGTGCCATGCTAGGCGTGGCAATCCAGATTCTCAAGACCATGCCGGTGAGAGTGAGCCGTGGAAGTCTCTCATGAGCTCTTGTTGAAAGTGGGAAGTAGTGGTGTGGAAAGCTTGCGTTTGAGGCGCGGGTGGAGATGGGCTCATTGCAGTAAGGTGATAATTGCCTTCCTTTTGTATCCTATCTCCCTCGTTGCCTCCCGACATGCTTCATATGTTCTCCTCTCTGTGTTCCATATGTTATCCTCTCTGCTTGCGAAGCATTGCACAGCATGTTGCTGGAGCTGAGCCTCAGCCCATTCGTTGATGGCTAGCATTTACGAAGGCTTCATTGGATGTTGATACAGAGAATTAAGTTTAAAGACAATTGGCCCACTTTTATGATGGGCTTAATCTATGTTGACTGGATTGTTCTTTGCAAAGCATGTATGCAAGGCGATTTTACAAGGAAATTTATCAAATCTTCCGCAAAGTCATTGCCATTATCTGTCAAGAACCAAATCCTTGGAGAGCTTTAGGAATTAATATATGTATAATGAAGGATAGTTAAGTAATTTGATGATGAGAAGTTTGACATATGTTATCAAACATATTATCTAGCATAGCAATCAGGGATGCTCAACATCCCAAACAATTCTCCCAATTGGAAATAAGAAATATCACAAGTGCCATTTCCTACTCATCCATTCCCTTTGAAAACTTTCTTTCTATTCTGCAGGGTGGAGTTTTATATATAATGTTGTTGTATAGGGCAATATTGCTTCTTCAATGGCAACTAGCACTTGTTCAATGTTTCGTGACCAATCTATTCCCTTCTCTTCCAATATCATGGAATATAAGTATATGAAATTTTCCAAAACTAACATATTGGAGTACAATCTTAATCATTCTTAAACTCTTAGGAATACTAGACTCAACTAGAGATATACTTCAGTTCCCTTTAATCTTCCAGTCTAGCATCATTCCAAATCCAGGATTGGTATTCAGATTAGAATATTGCTAGCCTTTTGAGACAAGTATAATAGTTGTTTTGAATCGTTAGGATCATCCTTTAGTGATTTTAATCTACATTGAGTTATAATTTAAATAGATTGCTATTTTGTCCTCTATGACATGCTAGATGGAGAAAAAGTGTTATATAAGCTCGTATTTTTAATGCATCAAGTATTCTTTACAAATCAAATATTTATTTTAATAGCTTTTTTCTGCAGGCTATTTGCAAAAGAACGCCCACAAGGTGTATGACCTGTTTAGTATTTGCACACATATCAATTTTGTTATATTTGTATTCTTTATTTTTCCACAATACCTATCTTTTATGGCTTCAGTTAAGTTATAGTCATTTACACCTTTGAGTATTTCTTCAATTTAGGCACTATATTTTTGGTTTGCTTAAGCAAACCAACATAGGATATACCTGGGTATTCTTGAATATTTTATAATTTAATTGTTGATATTTATTTAGAATAATTTTGTGTTTATAAATTAAAAACATGGTCGTCACGTTGACTACATATAGTTGACCGACGGTTTCGGCAAAAAGATGTTCTAATTTATTTTCAAAGCTTTTAAATCTGAGAACTACTAATTCAACGTTTGGACGTGTGTTTGCAGGTGTGATTTTGTGGCGAGGAAGCAGGAGCAACAGGAGCTTTTCCAGACAAGCTAACTTCTCAAGTTTAACCAGCTGCCACCTCCATTTTCCACGAACTCAAAGGGTAGAGAGCTAGCTCTTAATTTTTTTTTGGTTGTTCTCTAGGCTCCAATCTGTTAGGAGTGACTGTTATTGATCAGGCCAGGGATTTCCAACTCAAAGCTATGTTTCTCATACCTGAAAAGTGTATCCATGAAATATACATATCCTCTTGTAGTTTCTCTTCTAAATAGAAGACAAGTGCCTGAGGTTGTACATATCGAAGTACAAACCAAAGAAGCAGATCAATGGATCTCCCCGTGACGTGTCAATCAGCAGTCGAACGAGGCGAGCAGCGCATACTTGATCCTCTTCCAGTCGATCCACTTTCCTGTAACCAATGGTGCTACCGTTGCTCACCAGGTACCAGCCCAGCTCGCTGTCCCATGCCTCGACGTGATATTCCATGACCCTTTGTCCCATGTTTACTGGCTCTCGGATCTCTAGTGCGTTGAACATTGAGACCTTGCCAAGATCAAGCTCGATCCAGCCGGTCGACTCCCCTTGCATTGGAGCCCAGAAAGTTTCCATACGCTCGTCAAGTATTTGCTTCGGCCCGAACGAAGAGCTGCGAACGCTGCTTGCTGTCACGGACAAGGGATTCGCTGCTAAGTTGACGCTGAAGATGGAATCTATGGCGGAGCTAAACCGCTCCAGCGTCTGGAAGTCGGATTCGTCGATCAGTCCCGACGAGTTTGGAGGGACGTTGAGCAGGAGCAAGCAGTTCCTGGCGGATGATTTGTAGAAAACGTCGAGCAGCTGCTCCAGGGATTTTGGAGCCTCGTTCCTGTGCCAAAACCAACCGGGCCTGATGGAGATATCGCACTCCGGAGGGAGCCAGTCGGTTCCAGCACTCTCTCCAGACATCAAGTACCTGTTGATGTTGCGAATTGGATCGAGTTTCACGAGAACGAAAGTTTCATGCAAGGATGGATTTTACGTACTGGCCATCGCTCCTGCCGATCGTAATGGAAGATCTGTTCGCCATCGCCCAGCATGGTTGTCCGGCCTCGCCATACTCGTTCCCAACCCATCGGATGTCGGGGCCAGCGTCGGAAAAGATGTTGGCACCGGGTTGCAGCTGATGAATCGTGTCAAACCAGAGCTCAAAATCGTAGCTCATGTTCACTGCAGTGGGTGATTTCGCACCATCCAGCCACACCTCGGAGATCGGCCCATATCTGCACGCCAAAACAGAATGCCGCGTCAAGGCATCTGCTGCTAGAGATGAAAACTACAAAAGCCCACAAGCTCGCGAGCTCCTAATGCTAAAACCGTTTGATGGGCTGGAGCAAATGCAAACATATCACACAGTGACCATGCCACCAAGAAAAATGCGTGAAGAAGAAGCAAAGAATGTCTCACTCACCCAGTAAGAAGCTCTCGGAGCTGAGCCAAGTAGAACTCGTTGTAGAGAAGAGTGTCGCCATAGCAGCTCTCGTGCAAATCCCATGGCGAGAGGTAAAAGCCCACGTCCAATCCACGCTCCCTGGCGGCAGCCACGAACTCGGCCACCACATCCCCCTTCCCTCCTCGCCAAGAGCTGCTAGCCACGGAGAAATTGGTGTAGGCCGAGGGCCACAGGCAGAACCCGTCGTGGTGCTTGACCGTGAGGATCACGAGCTGCGCGCCCGCGGATTGGGCCGCGTCCATCCACTGCGACGCATTCAATCGCTCCGGGTTGAAGATGGAGGGCGATTCGTGGCCGGATCCACGCTCCGAGTCCGTGAATGTGTTGACGCCGAAGTGGAAGAACATCGAGAGGCGGCGCGAGTGGAACTGGAGCTGGCGCCATGAGGGAATTGGGCGGAGAGGGAGCGGTGGGGGCGAATTTAGGGCGACAGCTCTCAAGAACACTAGTATCTCGAGGAGCAAGAAAGAGAGATGGAAATTCATTGCTATAGATAATGGAGGAGAGAGCCAATCTTATAAGCCCAGTGGAGTAGAGGAATTGTCACCAGAGAGTAAAATCTTTGCTTCTTCCAGGGTGTCCTTGTTCTTGCAAGGCAAGATGGATTATCTTCTTCTTCTTAGCCGTGATCTCCAAGCTAGATTGGAATGTTCTTTCTCCGTCCAGGATTCTCAAGAGCTGTGGAGGTCGCGCCCGGATTCTCGCAAGGAATACCTCGCGAATCGCGAATGCGTGTGAGATCCAGCAAAGTTTATGGCATTGCTCTTCCCCAATTTCGTGATTTCCACAGACACCTCAGAGGATTGCTTGCTCTCCTGGGGAGCACTGCTCAAGAACTGCCGGGATCTGTCACAGGGGAGGCAAATCCACGCCCGCATTGCGCAGAGCGAGCACCGCCGCAACAAATACCTCGCGAATCTGCAAATGCGGCAGCGTCGATGACGCCCGTGCAATCTTGGAATCCATAGAGAATCCTAAGCTCTTCTCCTCCAACATCATGATCCAGGCCTACGCACAGGCGAAATATCTAAATCGAGCGCGCAGAACGTTCGATGGGATGCTCCGGCGAGATGCCTCGACGTGGAACTCGATCGTCACGGCATATGCCGAAAACGGGCATCTTGATAAAGCGCGAGAGATTTTCGAATTGGCCCCAGAGAAGAACGAGATCTCTTGGAATGTGATGATCACGCTTTGCATCCGCAGTGGAAAGATAGCTTCTGCCAAGGATTGGTATGATCAGATGCCCGTGAAGACGATCGTTGCGCAGACTGCCCTCGTCACAGCATTTGCCAGGAAAGGGCATTTGGAAGAGCCGAGGCTTTGTTTGAGAACATAAAGGAGGAGCACGATGTAGAGTCATGGGCTTTTGGCTCTCGCTGTCTACAGACAACTCCAACCGAACAGCAAATGCAGGTTGGGCAGTCTTTTTCTCTTGAGTTGATATTTGAGGTGAAAAGGCTACTGATTGCCGGAAAGCAGAAAGAGGCTTTACGGGCTGCTCAAGACGGGCAACTTTGGGGATGTGCTCTTCTTATGGCCCGGTTGTCTTGTAGCTTTGATGTATAGACCGTTAGTGATGGTCTTGTGGTTTTTAATAGTTCTACACCGACACTATAGCGGACATGGCTCAACGTCAGTTTCAACCAGGGTTTCCCCTCCGGACTCTAACTCTTCTTTATGCTGGTCAACATGCCGGAGTGTTCGTAGGGAACACTAATTCGTCGAACGTAACAGCGCCTCAACCTCAACCGGTTCCAGCGTCCGCTGTAGATGGTGCAACACAGGTGAAATACTTTTATCAAGCTACTCTTAAGGAGTGCATGTTGACTTGCAGGACGCAGTAGAAGGAATGCTCGAAGAATGGCAGGAAAACCTGGCTATAATGGCAGCTAACCGAACTAATGGGGACGAGAGAGTGATTATGCATCTTGGTGATTGTCTCTGGAGACATCGAGATGAGGTATATACATGGTCACACGTTGATGTTTCTCATAGTTTTAACTTGCAGATATGTGGAGCCCATATTTGCTATCTTGTTGCAAATGCTAGTTTTGAGCCTTTCTCCCCTTCTGCCAGACTTTGTCTTATAGGTGCCGACCATTGTAAGTATCCACGCACGTACGCTAGTCCAGAAGCTATCCAGGTAAGCCGTGTTTGTCCTCAATAACAATTGTTAACCTTTTCTTCATCAGCGAATGGAAGTGTACGAATCTGCAAGAGTGACTGGCAATTCCCAGTTTATTTTACTTCCTTTTCAGCCATACAAGCTTATTTATGCGTCGACGCTTGCTGAAGCTGGAAAGATAAACGAAGCTCTAAGGTTGGTAGTGATTTTTAACTGTATCCTTAAGGTTTCTCTTCGAAGGTATTGCCAAGCGGTGTTGAAAACATTGAAAACAGTGGGCCAAGCGTCTTCGTATCCACTCTCAGGTTTGTAATCGGACACTCGGCTTTTATACTCACTTTCCTGTTATCCAGGGAGGCTCGACGTCAATTGTGCAACGGTTTTTTGGCAATATTGGTCTACACAAGATGACAGGCCCTTCTTCCCCGAAAGCTTCTGATATGCTGATATTAATAACTGTCCCGCAACAGCTTCTAGCAGAAGCAGTGTATCACTTGCCTCGTCGGCATCAATAGAACCCATAAGTGATAATACGAGAAGATCCAACATGCCAGCGAGAAGCATTTCTGAGCCTGACTTTAGGCCTGGACAGGTAACTCGACTTGCTCTTGTGTACCTTCGATTAGAACTTGTATTCTTTCATCAGATCGTTAGTCTAGCGAAAGGAATCTTTACTTCTTTCGTGCAAAGAGCGATGGGCTTCATAAAAACACCTTCGAAGGAGGTTTGTAGAAGCTTTGGAAAGAGCGCTAGCTGATTGATGGTTAGTACGTGATGCAGGCAAAGCTTGGCGACAGCAACAAGTTTAGATACGACGAGACACTGAAGCGCAGGGTTGAAGAAGGAGCCGAGGCACAAGCGCCAGAGCTTCCGTTGGCTCCTCCTCCCACGGCAAACAAGCTCGTCTCGCGCGTGGAGGAGAACGGTCTCAGTTTTCAGGAGATGAGCCTAGATTTGCAGGAGGTGGGGGAGGAGGAAGTGGATTAGAGGAAGACCCAGCCATTGTTAGAATCTAGAAGAAATCTAGTAACGAGGTCTTTCCTAGGGGCAGGTCCTAGAGTAGCGAGCACTCCTATTTCCATGTCTCCGGAGAGACCACAGCCAACTCCGGAAAGGCCGCAACCGGTTGTGAGTAGAATCCCACCAATGGCTCCGAGCAGTAACCAGTACGCAGCTCGCGCACGTCAAAACGTTAAATCAAGGTACCGTTTTGGTCATTCCCAGCACTCCAATCTCACGAGGTTTTTGGAGATATGTCGATACATTCAACAAAGGTAGCATAACACCATCATCGGACTCTCCTCCACTGTTTGGCGCGGTGCCAAAGGCAAGCGCAAAGCCTTTGGCTCCAGCGAGATTTTTCGTGCCTGCGGCCGCTGCTGCCGCTGCTCCAGATATCAACAGCAACCATTCGGTGGATCCTTCCTCGGCACCGGCCTTTGTCCCCGACACGGCATTCTCAAACGGGAATGGACCGTTTGCAGCAGCAGCATTCGCTCAGCCGGTTGTACAGGATATGAGAAACGATCCGGGGCCAACGCCTGATCATCTCTCGAGCGGCTCTTCACCAGCAATGTTCTATTCGAATCACTATCCAGCAGCACCGTCGACCGTCTCGTTGCCGCCACCTCCAGCTCTGGAAGTCACTCCGCCAGTGATGGTCGAGCAGCAGCAGCAAAACCAACACCAGGAAAGTTCGATTCATCGGCACCACCATCAACAGTCCGGCACAGTGGGATTCGAAGCTGCCAGTTCCTCCGGAGTGTTTGGAGACGACTTGCAAGAGGTGGAATTGTAAATCACACTCCACAAGTAAGTAGTAGTGACTGTTGCTGGGTGGATTTTGGTAGAGCAGTGTAGCGAAGTAGTAGTCGTGGAAGGAGGAATTTTTTTTGGCTGGGGTGATTCTTTGGAGCCACGAGCGAAGCAGGAAGCAAGATAAATAAAATGGATCAAACAATATAATTCAGGAATTAAATTCTATAAAACAATAAAATTTAAAATGAAAACGGTAAAATATAACATAGAATATAAATAGAATCAAATAGAGTAATAAACTACAACATATGCAACATATACTCTTCAATAATAAATTTCAAGCCATGATTCTCATTATATAATCTTGTAAACAAAATTTCGATAAATACTAAAAAAATTCTAGTTATTTTTTGAAAAAACTTTGTATGGAGTCTCTTCTTGAACTATATGACAACATTAAATATCTGTACTACATTATTTAATTAATCCTGCCTAAATTCAAACAAAACTGATACAAGCTATTAGTATCATAACACTACCCTATTCTTTGTCAAGCTTGCATTTCAAATTTTCACCCTCTTAGCCTTATGGTTTTTTCTTAGGTTTTATTATTTGGGTTCTCTATGGATCACATCTTTCTCTAGCACATCCTAAACACATATCTCTCCCACACTGTTTTGGTTTGTTTATGTCCATGGTAAGTTTTTCTTTCCTCAAAACATATGGTTTTCATTATTATAAAGAATATACATTTGTATTTTAGTATTGCTTGGTGTGAGACTATATGATAGTGTAGTGTATTTACAAGAGAGTCATCCCATACTTGTCTATAAGCATGAGAGCGCATGCCTAGAAATCTCAAAATAAAAGAACAAAGATTTACAAGAAAGAGTCATCCAAAACTGGTCTATAGGTGTACAAGTGCATGCCAAAAAATCTCAAGCTTCTTTGGAGAAACTCAAGTTTGAGTTTGGCTAGGCATGAGCCCACATGCTAGCTTAAAAAAACAAGAGACCATGAAAGAGAGAGTGTTAGAAATCCTTACATTTTTAAAAAATGAATGTGAGACCATGCTTGTTCAAAGTTAAGTAACCCCCATTTCTTTGGTCATTTTACAAACTTGCACTTACCAATCTATTTCTCTTTTAATTTGACTTTGGTTTATTGTGAGCTCATATTCTTTCATCAATACATTAAATTGGTTTTTAGTGTGCAAGTGCATGCTAGAAATTCTTTGACTTCATGTGTGCTTATTTTATGCATTTTTAATTATTTTCACTATATATTTTCATGCTTTTTTTTCTCATATTCACAAAAGGAGCTTTGTTTTTTAATTTCTATTTTCTTGTCTTTTTTTTGTACTTTTGTCCTTCTATTTGTGTTTTGATATTTGTAATTTTCTTTGTTTTTCTCAAGTTGTTAAAGGAGATATAATAGAGATTTTTGGGATAATGGAGAATCAATTGCAAAAGGAAGAATGGAATCTTTAGATGCTACTTACATTTGTCACTGTGCTTCTTTAAGAGTTCGATGTGTTTTGCTTTGCATTATTAAAGTGTTTACCTTGAATTACTCCCCCCTTACAGGTGAATTGGATGTTAGTAGGGAAATACAATTGGAACACAAAGGAATAATGATGAAGATGTTATTCCACAAAAGATAGAGGCAAATATTTCTGAAGGCAAGAATATCCCTAATTCTGGTTGTTCTTCTATAGATATAAATGCTTGTAGTATATGGTATAAAGCTCTTGTGAAGATAGTGGATGCTATACACTGAGGGACTAGTTATTGTTGTAGACCCCTCAAAATGCTCTATACAACATAACTTTAGGGTGGGATTATATTAGAATCTCAATCTCTTTTTTTGTTATGTTTCAAGTAAGTTGGAAATAGGTAGTCTAGTTCAATGAAAACTATCCCAAACTCTTTTTGGTAATAGTATACCATCTACCATACTAATAATCACTTGCATTTCTTCTTCACATTATTGAAAACGAAAATATACATTTATTAGATGAGCTATTAAG